GATTATTGTTGTGTTGTTGTTTTTTCCTGTGGTTTCTGTTTGTATATTGTTAAAACATGTTTGAACTAGTTGGTTGTTGTTGTTTTGGTATAATGATTTCATGCTGTTTTTTGAAAAGGGTAAGCTGGATGATCCACTTTTGTTATTTGAGTTTAGTCTAGAAAGAAGTATACATCATTTTTTAGTACTGGTGTCAGTGTAGGTGGAGTCGAGCTTGACTGAAACCTTCTTTTTGACTTTGCTTTTGCTGTTGCTACCACTGTTGTTATTGCTTATTTGTAGTTGTAGTTGTATTAATAGCGTGAAAGGTGCTATAGGGCCCAAGGGCCTTGTATTTTCTTTGTTGTCAGTGGTGTGGTTTCTGCTACTCTGTTTTCTCTTTATATTGGTACTCAGTAGGGTAGTATGATGGTGTGTTGGTATATTTTGCAGTTTTCTCTTTTGTGTAATTAGTTATTTATTTAATAAATTGTCAGTTTTATCGTAACATTTTTGTTTTACTATAGAAATTGAGATCTAAGGGAAAGAGTTTTGTTTTTATTTCATCAAAGTATATTATAATTTTGAAAGAATATATAGATTTGCTAATTTAGAAAATATATTTTGAAAAGTAAATTTTTGAGATTGATATTGGTAATAATATTATTTTTGGCTACAATATTTAAAATATTAAAAATAGATATAATAAAATTAATAAAAATATTGCTAAATATTATCACAGGTGATCATTACTGCTTATATATTCAACCAATCAAATTGTAGAATCTTGTATAATTAAATAATAGCAAAACTAAGAAAAAAAGCCAAAAATATTAATAACAAGTTATTTTACTATAACAATAAACCTTTGTATACTAATTAAAAATTTTTAGTATAAAATTTTATATATAATTTTATTTTTTTTTATTCTAGCCCCGCCTAACCCTAACTCTAAATTTTAGTTCTTTAAATAAATATATAATAAAACAGTGATAATTATTTGTGGAGATCTTTAGCAAAATTCAATTAATAATAATATACAATATTTATTTAAAGAAAAGATTAAACAGTACACTTTGCACTTTGTATACTCCTTTGAATGACTAATAAAATTGCAAGATCAAGTGTAATATTTAATTTTGTATAATAAAAACAATTATACATACCATTTTTGTAAAACAAAAACAAAGAATTTTTTAAAAAATTAATCATATCTCAAAATTTGATTATAAAAAAAAATTTCTGCAAAATTTTACTATACACTATATCTAACTCTAATCTCTAAACACTGTCTTTATTTTAATATTAAAAAATTTTAATTTTTGTTTGATAACATATTTATTACACAAAATTAATGATTATTTAGGTATACTAAAGTGCAGGGTGCACTGTTTAGATTTTTCTTTATTTAATTAAACCAACAAATATAAAAAAAAAAACTTAAAAACTAAAACTAAAATTTAAAAAGAAACAATCTATTTTGACCTGGGTCAAAATAATCCTCAGCAAAATTTTAGGTTAGTGCGGGCCAAAATTATGTTGATGCCGGCCAGGATTTTTTTAATAAAAAAACCCGGCCGGCGTTAATATAATTGAGGCCCGCAATAAACTTAAATTCTAGAAGAGGGTCATTTTGACCCGGGCCAAAATAGAATTTCCCTTTTAAAAAACTTAAAAACTAAATAAATTTAAAACCTCGCCACCGGAGCATCTTCCGGGTCTGAGAGTTAGTGTATTTTACTAAAATAATTAAACTTGATTAAGAATTTTATTTGATTTTGCAAAATAAATATTATTTGTCATGAAAAAATTTATTGGTTGGTTAATAATAATTACATGAATAAAATGTATATTGGCATAATAAATATAAAGAATTAGGTTAAATCAATTTTAATGCGCAATTTATGTAATTAAACAATTTACACGATTTATACGTAATTAATAATGTAAAAAAAAATGTTAGCTATCGTAAGATAAACATGACGCGAGATCAATCAGAGGGGTCAGTATCAAAATCCCGACAGGTCATAATCCCGACAAAAAAATCCCTACAGCCAAAAATCCGACGGTTAAAAAAATCCCGACAATTAAAAATTCTGATAAAAAATATCATAAACCATAGTTAACCCTAGCTTAACTCTTATCTAAAGTGACCTAACCTTAAAGTTAATTAAATTATGAGTCTACTTTGCTTTAAACATACCCCATATTCTGGATTTTCTACTTGAAAATTTTGACTGTAAGGATTTTTAATTGTCGGAATTTTTTTGTCGGGATTATGGCCTGTCAGGATTGTGCTTGTCAGGATTTTGACCGACACTCAATTAGAGAAATATGCCGATTGGTCACTTCTTTTATAGAAAAAGGGATTTTTTTTACTGAGATATAAACAAAACTCAGTCTAAACCAAGAATAAATTGAAAAAGAAAACATCATAAATAAAAATAAAAATAAAATATATTCCTTAGAAGTAATCGTCAAAATACACGAGGATTATTTATTGGTAATCTGCCACAACCGTTTTATAAAAAATCAAACCGAAAGCAGAAGATGCAGAAAGTTCGAATACACAAGTTGTCAATAGAAATGATAGCGTAAGTTTATTAAATAAATAAATTTACAGTAATTAGATTTACAGTAAATATTATGTTAAATAATGTTAAATAATTGTAAATAATGATATCCAATAATTATCTAAAAGTCTATTATAACAACAAGTGAGGACATATCACGCAGAGTTCTTAGTAATATCAAAGTGGGATCAAACACAGATTAGAAAACCTAAAGCTTGGACACATAAAGTTGATGAATTAATTAAAAAGGCGAATTATTTGTCTGATGATGTAAAATTCAAGTTACACTTTCGAATTTAATTCAGGAAAGGATTAAGAATAGAAATAAAAGCGAAAAAGAAGAGAATCAAGCAAGTAAAGAGAATGATGTAATCGGTATTAAAAATTTGTAAGGATTGTGGAAAATTGTTGAAGAGGTTCTGTGAAGAATAATCCTTCTTAAGAACTACATCTAAACGATATATACAAGTACGTACAAGGTGTACAGTACGTACAATACAATACGTACGTACGTACTAGTACATACATACGTACATACTAGTACATATGTACATAATTAGTTACGACCAAAAATCACGTGCAATAGTTATACAAATTTATATATTTATATATTTCCAATATTTCCAATACTTTTTTGTGTATGTGTACGTACATACGTGCATAATAAATATACGTAGTAACACCCTTAAATGCAATGAATCTATCCCCAAAATAGAATTCATAAAAGCATCCTGTCAGAACAGAGAATATGTACGTACGTACGTATGTTTTGTAAGCGTGTCATAAGATTATTAATAAAAGCCATGCTCTTTATAGAATAAGACCCTTTCATTGAATAAGTTTCAAAAATCTTAACAAACAAACATTTGAAGAGAATTATTACATGTGATAGTGTGACAAACAGAAGTCTAAAGTAATCAAATATTTATTAAAAGAGATTTAGTTGGTGGGATTCTTTGATCGGCAATTTAGTTTGCATGCAAAAGGATTCAAGAAAAAGGAAACTTGCTTGAATCGAGATGAATCGAAAATGAATTGATGAAATTTAATTGGTGTACCACACATGATAATAACTATTAAAAGGAAAATAATTAAAAATCTAATAGCTGACATAGAAATTAAAGCTGAGTAAATGTAAATACGTAACGATGAATTCAAACTTATGCATGCATTCGAAATCGGTGCTAGAAACGTGAAAAGATAAATATTTTGTGATAAATATTTTGTAAATTTTATAAATATTTTGTAAATACTATAAATATTAATATTCCTTACCTCCCCCTCGCCAAGGGTTTACCAAGGGTTTACCATACATAATATACATAATATACATAATTATATGTAATCTTATACCCCCTTAATCAACATTAACGATTGTTATAAATACCAAAAATAAATCCTTTAAAAAAAAACCTACCTTATTTTTTTCGATTAATCTTGTTATAATAACTTTATATAATTTTTTTACAAAGATAGATACCTTTCATTTTGATACCTTTCATTTTTCCTTTCCCCTTCTTCCGTTCTCCGATGCATGTTAGGCATGATGCAATCATCAAAAATTTTGATATTTGTTCTCTATGATATCCTTATTACCTTGACATCTACCCTCGCTGATGTGTCATCTGAGTCATCTGATATTAATATTAATGACGCAAATGATATAAAATCGAAATATACCACTACTAACAACGATGTTAATTATGTTACTTCAGTTCGACTTGATAGTCCAGAAAACATTAATGATTTTAAACTTGTAGTTATAACTACTTATGTGATGGCTTTTTTTAATACTATTGGTTGTTCATACGTTTTTTATCGGAGTTGGTTGCAATGGAAAATATCATCAAAAAGCTTATCAATGATTTTTCGATTACCTTTTTACACTGCCATTGCTGGTGAGTTTAATGATATTGAAAATATTAAGGATATTGAGATTAATATTACATTATAAAATTATAAAATGTTAATGTTATATAGATTAATACGTATTAAAGTTAATGATAATTTTACAGTATTAAATTAATATTAGATTGATGTTAATTATTAATTATTTTTACGTAATAGATGCGGGAATTGATTTAGCTGGGATTATAAATATCGTAAGTTTTAATTTATCACTTATTTTATCACACATTTAAGATTATTTAATAAATTTAAGACTGATATATTAAATTATATATAGACTCATACAGCTATTTATGCCGAAGTCTGGGATCAACCCATGTGTACAATATTAAGTGTAATGTACTTTTTTTTCGCAACCGTTAATTTAGCTCTATATGGTACTGTAAGGTATTATACACTGTGTTTATATTGTTTATATTGTTTATATTACGTATATTCTGCAATTTTTTTTTTGTCACGTGCTTGCTTAACTTTATGGTAACTTTATGGTAACATTATGGTCTTCTAGCATGACAACTTATCTTCGTGTTTGTCGACAATTTTATTTCGATCTTGGAAAATTCGATTATAAATTATGGTTTGTCATTCTGGTCGTCGCTATGATTTTTCAGGCAGTTGCC